AGAGAGAGAGAGAGAGAGAGAGAGAGAGAGTTTGTGTGTGGGGTGGGGGTGGGGGTGTTAGTTGGGTACAATTAAGACAGACATGTATGTATACGTATATAGCTGTGAAATACATGAACACTATTCTACGCTAACTATTACAAGTACACTAGAAGTATATATGATAAACGTGAAATCGTAACAGCAAAATGTATAATACCTTTTTACCGTTGACGAAAAACACGAGGGAATCCGCAGAATCCATGTTGGTTTCCTTCCTGTAATGCTATCTCTAGTATTTGTGGGTCAGACTAGGCCGACGTCCTGACCTGAGAACCGCTTACACAACACAGCTAACCACGTGATATTAAGCTTTAAATTATCCAACAAAATCCTATCGGTGGATGGCCTGGTGCACCACTAAAACTAAATCCAAACTTTTAGAAACTATAAACCAAAATTCCCACTGTAGTTTTAGATCAGATATGAAAGGTCATTTGTGTGATAAAAATTGTAATCAGTACAACCAGNTATAAGCACCTTCCTTTGAATTTTCCAGAGTTGGTATTCGGGGAATAATACGGAGATTGGCAACTCACGCAGATCTCACAAAAACACCTGTGCAATTTACCTGTACACCATTTCTGCATTAGCCTATACTCACTATCATCACAACTGGCCACCTATGTAAACATGTGATTTTAAGCAGAGTTGTTGTTCGGGGAAGACCCCAGTGAGTTTACCTATGATAATTCGATTGTGTATTCGATAGTCCGTGTCAACATGTCACATATCCTAGATATATGGCTCATATAAAGAAGCTTGTTAGAAATATAATGTAATATCTGAATACGTTTTTGAAATAAAATAACGAACGGGAGAGGAGTGCCGGTGTCATGAAAGGAATTCCCTCGCACATCACAGCCGCCGTTTTTTCAGAGCTCAATTATCAAACTTTGCAAGTATTGTAAAAATCTTATTTGAAAAAGATGTCTAGAAATATTATGTTTGAATAAATATCTGAAGATGTTTTTGAAATTAAATAATGAATTAGAAAGGAGTTCGTGTTTTAATGTGTTAAGAAAGAAAAAAATCCTCACACGTCAAAGCCGCCATTTTAACTTGTTTATTCTTAAAAACCTGTATTTTCATAGCTAAATTATGAAACTTTGCAAGTATTATAACAACCTGATTTTAATTTCCTGGTTAGAAATATTATCCAATAATTAATTTCTGAAAACGTTTTTGAAATTGTCTAAAGAACAAAAACGGAGTTCGTGTTCTAATTTGTCATGATAGAAATAACCCTCACATCAAAGCCGCCATTTTAACTTGTTTACTCAAAAAACTGTATTTTCAGAGCTCAATTATCAATTTTTTCAAGTATTGTAACAACCTCATTTTAATTTCATGGTTAGAAATATTANAATCAAAATTCAAGCGTCAAATTACTCGCTATAGACTGTCCTCTCACAGTTTAAATATTGAGGTCGGGAGGCGGAATAATATAAACCGTCATAATCGACTGTGTACTAGATGTAATTTAGGCGACATTGAAGATGAGTTTCATTTTATTCTCAAATGTCCATTTTATGAAAATCTAAGGTTAAAGTACATAAAGAAATATTATCGTTTAAATCCGAGTGTGTTTAAGCTAACTAAACTATTAAGTACCAACAATGTAAGGGAACTTTTTAATCTTGTTATTCTGTATTGTATTGCATAACATGTTGTACTTATCTTGTAATATATGTATTATACCCATGAGTCAGTTGACTCGAGGTTAATAAAATAATAACACCTTATAAGGAGCGCTGAATTAATTTAGATATTATAAATATTATAGGGAGATTTATTTCTGAGAATGATCCTACTAAGTCATTGCACTACTGTGAAGTAGCCTACATTTCCAGTCTGTGTGAGGTAACGCATCACTTGTATAAAGAAGTATGTACGTTTTGAATTATACCATTACAAGCTGTATGCATACAGGTTTTTTTCGTTTTGTAAAATATTGTCTTTTTAATGTCACATTACTATAAAAGTTGTATGAACACAGGCCCTATCTTGGTCAACAAAATCGTGTATTCGCAACTTTTATATTTAATCCTGATTTGATATAAGGCATGTATTGCCTGACATGTACAGACTAACGACACTACTATTACGATGACCGATAGCCGCCGACACCCGCATACGAAACCATAAATCAGGACACCTCGTCGTGCATGTTAGAAGGTTTCACCAACGATTATAGTTAACACTTTTTCCATCCTATATAGCAGCCTTATACAGATGACATCACACACTGGTCATGCATTCGCATCTTTGCAGTCTTCACTTCATTGTTTTGTACCCAGCACAAGTCGAATGCACTATCATATACCTGATGCACATCGGAAATATTTTGAGGTCACGTGTAATGTTACATATGTCACATGTCTTGTAAACTGTGCAATATTAATACCTTATGCACCCTCTAAATAACATAATTTTAATTGTCAGTATAAAAAAAACTTTCGACGGAGTCTTATTTTGACATTGAGTATTTCGGCTTACAAAACGATATTGTTGCATTTTTACATTGGTAGCAAGGGTGAGAAGAGAGGAAGTAAGCCTGTTAATTGTTGATATGTGATTGCTAGTTCACACATATGCAGTAATATAAGAAAACGTCCTATATCTATATCATCGTTTCACAACAAGTTAATTTTAAAATATGTGTGTAAAGCATCTTTGTTTTTTTATGCGGTTTTTTAAAGCTTCATGTAAAGACTTATCAAAAAAACCCGCTGAGCCACATCATCATACGTATTTTTTTCGTTCTTTAATTCTCTCTCTCTCTCTCTCTCTCTCTCTCTCTCTCTCTCTCTCTCTCTCTCTCAGTACAGTTCCAGCTACTCATTGCATTCGCTTTTATATTTACAATGTAGTATTACTGTCTGACTTAATATCTCTTTTTTCTAACCATCTAGCGTAAAGCTACATACTAAGTAATACATATTACACTCTCTCTACTGATACTTTCTTCGTTCATTCTTTTTCTCTGGTTATACGTCCAGGTGATTTGTTAGTGATATGTTAGTGCTTTGTAAGTACATCTTAAAATAAGTCATATCGCTAAAACAATAAATTATTGAACTATGTGTGGTGTAAACGAAAAATAAATAGTATATGGGGTTTGAAAAAAAAACACCGAGAGAAAAGTCTTTTGAAAGGCCAAAGTAGGCGATAAAATGTATGCTCGACATGTTGTCAGTATGGTGGCTGATATATGACATTTCGTCTTTTCGCTTTGTCGCCCGCGAAATAACGCCAAGCGAAATACACGCAATAACGAAATAACGCCAAAGCGCCAAAGCGAAAAGACGAAATAACGCCAAAGCTAAATAACGAAATAACGCCAAAGCGCCAAAGCGAAATAACGAAATAACGCCAAACCGAAGTGAAAATAACGCCAAAGCGAAGTATGGTGAAAGAAGAAAAGACGAAAAGTGAAATAACATAAAGTCGTTATAACGAAAAGACGAAATAACGCCAAAGCTAAAAGACGAAATAACGCCAAAGCTACAAAACGGAATAACGCCAAAGCGAAGTATGGTGAAAGAAGAAAAGACGAAAAGCGAAATAACATAAAGTCGTTATAACGAAAAGACGTAATAACGCCAAAGCTTAAAGACGGAATAACGCCAAAGCTAATAGACGAAATAACGCCTAAGCGAAGTATGGTGAAAGAAGAAAAGACAAAAAATGAAATATCATAAAGTCGTTATAACGAAAAGACGTAATAACGCCAAAGCTAATAGACGAAATAACGCCAAGCGAAATACACGCAATAACGAAATAACGCTAAACCGAAGTGAAAATAACGCCTAAGCGAAGTATGGTGAAAGAAGAAAAGACGAATAGTGAAATAACATAAAGTCGTTATAACGAAAAGACGTAATAACGCCAAAGCTTAAAGACGAAATAACGCCAAAGCTACAAAACGGAATAACGCCAAAGCGCCAAAGCGAATTAACGAAATAACGCCAATGCTAAAAGACGAAATAAAGCCAAAGCTAAAAAACGTAAAACGAAAGTAGGCCCAAAATACTGCTAAAATACTTACAAAAACATAGTTTAACTTAAAAAAGATAATAATGCAAAATACTGTAAAGAAAAAGAGATACTTCGAAAATACGAAATAAAGATAAAATGAACAGATGGGAGACAAATACATAGCCTATAGGCGTACAAGGGACAATGTTATTAACGAAATAAAAAACAACAAAGATGATAATTTAATAACAAGAAATAAAAAGAAGCTTTCTCAAGTACAATGTACATCCTATAAAAAAATATAAAAAAAAATAACGCAAACTTATGATGTCATATACCATAACTAACTTTTAAATGTATCCTTTCAATTCGTTCAGGAAATATAAAAAATGTTCTTATATATTTTTTAAATATTCTAATTCCCCAACATATTTTTAAAATATATACCAAACGTTTTTGGGTCATTACACATTTATTTTAAAAGATTGGTTAATGGAGAATACTAGATCGAGNTTCGCGGAAAACTACATGAAGGAATTTCTTGTTAACATTCAGTCAGTGGCTTCGAAAAAGGCTACGTCATAGGGCGTGGAGAAATTTTCAGGTTTGTTATAACAGTTTCTTAACTAAAATACTTTTGAGTTTTATTATTTAAAGAAATTAGCATGACCCTCAAGTTCGACAGTAAACTGTAGCAGGTGAAACAAATTCGGACCGGGACTCGAACCCGGAGCTACCATAAAAATATGGTTACTCTTCCTTGAGATACCTGACTTTTAAATTATCTAAGTACGTAAACTCAATTAAAGATTATTTTCATATCATTAAAGTAGACCTAGTTCTAACCCTTCAGAAATTGAGAACAGTTTACGGCTTAAATTAAGTAAAAACGACTAACAGCTGGAATGACGGAAGGCTAATCTAGACTGTACAATAAATGTTCTTTGCAGAGTATCACAACAGCAAGAAAGCGTCACAGGAGAAGAATTGTCGGAGATATAGAGTTCAATGCAGCAAATAATATCATTCTTTGGGTTTAGGTTCCGGAATTCAGGAAATGAAACTTAAACAGACTCAAATTCCCTCATCATTCTCCTCATACTGTTTTAACTTACTTAAAAAGTTCGCACACTAAACATGTCTTTGCGTAAAGATAGTGGAAATATCATAGTTTAAAAGGAAAAAGACTTCCTTTTATTATTAAAGAAATCCAAATAAGGCCACTTTTGTTCAACAAACACATTCCTACCAGGATTTAAATACGTTCTGATATTTAAAAACGCGTTTG